TTCCGGAACTACCGTTGCTCGGGTCTCAAGTTCTTCAATGCACGATTTTTTCACAGCTGGAACTTCTAGTCGACGTGTTTTGAATCACCGCCCGAGCCTCTCCTCCGGCCGCTGGGTCCGTGCAATGCGTGGGCGGATCTCATCGAATAATAGGTGATGGTCAGACGCGATTTCGGCGCTGCGTTTATCCTGGATGTCAAGAAGGCTCCATCTCCATTACGGTTGAATGACTTTGTGCACTGGTGGATGAGGAAAGAGCGAGCCCCCGATCACCATGTCGTTATTGCCACAACATTCTGCGAACAGCTCACCGTTATCGCTCATGTCTCCGAGACCATGGCGTCCCATGACACGTTTATAGTCCGTGTTGTCGGAGCCGATCTGATCATTGAAGTCGCCAGTGTAGATCTTGATGTCACCCTTTGGAACTTTATCCACGATGGCATTCAGTTGTCTGTAGAAATTATCCTTGTTCTGTAGCTCGGCAGCATCGGTTGGCGCATGAGATTGGATTATGGTAGGGTTTCGAATCCGTGTTCTAAATCTGGCAACGATTATCCTCTGCCAGTGCCTGGTTGCTAAGTAGGAAACCAACTCCACGGTGCCGGGGAGCGTTTTCACCTCGAATATCAGAATATAACAGTACCTGTCTCTATGATAGTTTGTGATCTCCAAAGTTCGGCCGACGGACTTCACTCAGTCCTAGGATTTCAAGCAGCATGCGTCGTGCCTCGCTAGCAAATAATATAACAGTACCTGTCCCGAAGGAAGGTGTGGATCAAAGATTCTATGCCTCAGAAAATCCCGGCGGCACCGACTGCGATTGCACCCCGGCCCTTTGGGGTGAGAGGCAATCACGCTTACCACTATACCCTCGGCGCCGCTACGTTCCAATTCTTGTTCTTTGTTTTGCGCTATAAGTCGTTTCCGCAATATCAGTTCTTCATCTTTCTCTGTTGGTTTCTGTAACAATTTATAAATTTCGGAAACAGTAGGGTGTTGTTCCGGGGAAGAGCATTTCTTATTCAGCCACTAGAGCAGTACCTCCGTGATGGACAGACGCTCGGGTTGGCGAAGCATTTCCGTTACCGCCATGCAATATAGTCGCTATATTTACCATTAGTCTGGCGGATAGAATTTCGATCTATCAAAAAGCGGAACCACACTCCTAAAAATATGCACGTCCGATCTACATGAAAACATAGGTAGCTTTCGTCCATACTACTTTTCACGTAACATTTACGTTAATACCATGTAGCCAAAAATATTCCCATTTAGCGGTTGACGTGAACAGTAAGGTAAAAATAACGTGATTTCCACTTAAGTTGGAAGCGGTTATCGCGTAATGTTTAGTGATTTTGAAATGATATTTACTGGACAATATTGTTCATCTTATGTTTACTTTCCGTGGTTTCCACTATAATTGGAATGGATTTGCATGTAATGTTGACGTGATTTTGATGTGGTCTTTACCGGATCTAGCAAATACTGTTTTCCATTTTGTCCAAGAAAAGAATATTTAAACATTGTGAGCATTTTTTTTTATTAATACGTCAAGAATGTCATTGAAACGGTAATACTAATTATTTCGCTTTTCCAACACTTAATTGATCATGATAATTCAGATTTCGATTCAGATGCAATATCCATTTGCACTGTTTACTGCCGAGTCAGGCTAAATTGACCTTTGGAAAATACTCTTAAATTGTATCTTGTAATCCAGTCTCTGAAATCGAAATAAATTTATTTGGCAGTGTATTTTTTTTTCCTTTGGTTTGTTTTTTTCCGTCGATCTTGTTTTCCGTGCTGAGCACCAATGCTACCGACGTGCCAGGAAGGCAGCTCCCACACCTGGACCCTACCTATCGACCCATCAACTCATGAACCGGGGACCAACGGCTTTACTTCCCATCCGAAGGAAGGCGTGATCAGAGATGTTATGCCTCAGAACATCCCGGCGGCGCCGACTGGGATTGAACCCAGGCCTGCTGGGGTGAGAGGTAATCACGCTTACCACTACTCCACCGGCGCCGTTAATTGGCAGTGTTTGACGGATTTCAAATAAAGCAAAATAATATAAAAAATACCTTCAAACAGTTGCAGTATGCTGTTAAAGGAATCACTTCTTCCACTAATAAAATCGATGCCGCCATATTGCCATACGTAAACTCATTTTACGTAAGCACACCACAATCACACAACCGCACATAGAAGTTTGATTGAAAATGTTGTCACATTCATCATTAGCTCCAGTGCATGATATATTTATCAATTTTACTACCATCATGTAAACATGAAAGTTGAAGCATTCGAATGAGCTACGTGATTTTTCACGTAGATTGGATGCGTATATGTTGTAGAGTGTACATGATTATCATTTACTTTTTACGTGAAATTCCCTTAGCATCAACGAACATGAAAATCACGTAAATTTTATCAAAATTTAATTTGACATTGACGTGAGCCACGTGGAAATGATCGAAGTGGGGTGTTAAAGAGGTTACGTGATTTTTCACGTAGCATTAACGTGAAGATTTTTTAGAGTGCAGTTCAATATATTGTAGACAAACAATTGAAAAGGTACTATCAACTTTCAAAAACAAAACTTTGATTATTCTTTCCTCGCCAATCGAACGCAAATTACCAGCATCATCGGATAGGGGAAACTTTCTCCAACCCAAAGATGGTGTTAGTTTGTGTAGGCGAGCCTTGAGTCACGAGAAAAGGGTTTCCGAAGTTTTGTTCGCAATAGCTGATGTGCTCTTTTCTGTTGTTGGTCGTGATTTGCTCGATTGGCTCCGCTATTTGACACCTCAATTGGCTCCCGAGATTCTATCCGCCAGATTATGAATATAGCGACTATACCGTGTAATGGTTACCGCGTCAGTGTTCGAGTTGCAGCTTCTCTCTTTGCTATTGTCGTATTGACAACATTGCCCAGACTACGCCACCCAGCTGTGTCCAAGTTTCAGCTGGTCTTCTTCTTCTACTTCGCATTTCAAGCTTATTGTTTATCGCATATTAGTTTATTGCGTGCTCTCAGCTTAGTGTTCTAGATGCATTTCCACAGTTATTAATTGAGAGCTTTCGATGCCTGTACCATTTCTGCATTAGTGAAATTGAGTGGCAAGCACAACCATACTATATGCCCACGGAAGTCGAAAATTTTCCAACCCGAAAAAATTCTAGAATGGACCGGGAATCGAACCCAGCCACCTCCAGTATGGTTTTGCTTTGTAGCTGCACCTTTACTGACTGAACAAAGGGAGACCCCTAAGGGTTTGACATTGATCGCAGCACGGTTTGTTGGAGCAAAAGTCTGCAGTGTGACCTAGTTGCTTGAAGCGTACAGGTAGTCGAACGTTCCCAATTGTGACGTAGGTAGGTAACGAAGAACCTGAAAAGGTCACACGGAACGAGTCTGACCGGGAGTACGTTTTTTTCGTGCCTGTAATTGAATGCATTCCAGTACCTTGACTTTCGGTAGGACACGGTTTTTGAAAATTCCAATGGATTCGGCTTGCAGGAAATCTTCACAAATCAGACTTCTGTGACCACTCCTTCAATTTCTACGTCATAACTTTGAACGTAGAACGTATTCTATCGAAAAATGCTCGCAGACAGCAATCCGGTTTCCCTGTTTTCAGTCATCAACCGTAACGCGTCACTCTAAAGATATCGGTTACGGCCGAACAATGTTTTGTCCGATCCTTTGAGATCCGAGGAATATCCAAAGAAAGTTTGGGCCGGAAAAAACAACCCACGGACCTTTCGAGTCATCAGGGGTAAGCCTTGTAGCATAGTGGTGGTTGATGATTTAACCGTTGAACAATCCAATCTTCAGGATCGGCTGACATAGTTGCTTCCTCCGGGGAACGTATAACTTATAAAATATATTGCTACGGCGGAGAGCAGCGTAAAGAAAACTTGCTCTGTGGAACGTTCAACGACGAATGATCGGTTTGCTTTCATTTTGTTAACCGACTTTACTCGGGTTACTACAGTTCAGTTAAATAATTTTCTGAAATGTTTCCAATACTGCGTTGTAAAAGACTGTATTGGCTTTTAAAATCAACAGCAAACGCATCGAAAATCGATGAAGAAATCCACCATTGCAGATAGGCTCTTATGATTCTGAACGCTAGATTTGCATTTTGCAATTATTCCACAAATATTTATAAGGAAAAAAAATCATTCATGTCATGTTGTCGCCATCATGCCTGTGTGGTGAGCCCCACTCATATTTTCGACGTGGAATTAAGGCTATTGCGGACACGCACATATAATCTGAGTATGTGGAAATCCCGTAATTTTCATGAGATTAATTGTATTGGTTTAAGTAGGGATTTCTTTGAATATTCAAGTGGTATCCCATAGTCTACATTTTGAATTTCATCACACTCGATATCATGGTAACTGTAACTGATTGAATCAGTCATCTTAACTGCGCGTCAATTTATCAGAAACAACATTTCGCGGAATACCGTTTTCTACTAGATTCACATTTCCTAGTAAAGCTGCATGTTACTTAACCCTTTCCTTCCCTGAAGGTTTTTCGTTGTTTTGACATGCAAAAACGTTTTTTTGGAAAAAGTGCTAGAACAAAAGATGTTCCATACAGTCTAAAATTATCGAATCCAGTAAATAAAGTTTTTGTTTAAAATCAAAAGTGTTTTAATTGTATTTCTATGTTGAATTCTCAAGAATATTTATGGACGAGAATAATGAGCACACTGAGAATTTTTAATAAGTACTGATTATTCAATGGTAGATTGACAAACATAAGAAGGACTGACAAGTTATGGATCACCTGTCCTACCTGTTACCATGGGAAGGAAAGTGCTACCGGAAAATCGGTTTCCCTCAAAAAATATTCATTTCAGAAAACTGCGTTCCACGAAATGGCTTACAGCAGGTGTAGATATGATCATATGAAAAGGTCTTCCGGGTTTCTACTTTATAAAATAGACATTGAATATTTCTTTTCTTTCCATTTTCAGAACGAGTTCCCCTCCCTGGATGGCACTGGTCAGTATGGTCCGAGCAGCAAGCAGCAGCATCATCACCACCACGATGGCATCGACGGAAGACCGACGAGTCAGTATATGGAAGGTCCGCATGTCAGTTTGAGGCCACAAACGGATGCAGCGAGTTGGATGCAGCAACAACAGCAAGGCAGTGGAGTCGGAAACAGCGCCGGAGGTATGAACGGGCCAAACAGCAACCAACAGGGCCAGGGCCCCCAACAGCAACCGGCTGCTCCTCTGCCACCCCAGTTCCGTGCGCTGATGCCACCGTTCATGTATCGTGGCAACGGAGGCGGAGGTGGAAATTCTGTTACGCCACCGCCACCGAACGAGGATATCAATCGTGGCAATGGTGGCGGCGGTGGTGGAGGAGGAGGTGGAGGTGGCATGCGAAACAACAACAACAACAGCAACAACAGCAACAACAACAACAACAACAACAGCAGCAACAACGCTGGATACAACAGTATGCTACCAAGTTTTGCGGGCTCTTCGACGAATCATCATCAATCTCATGGATCAAATTATTCGCCAACGCAGTCGGGTGGTAGATATCGTGACTCGTATTCCGGTGGCCGTCGTGGACAGATGCAACCTCCTCGTCTTGCCAATAGACAACAACAACAGCAACAACAACAGCAACAACAACAACAGCAACAACAACAACAGCAACAGCAACAACAACAACAACAGCAGCAGCAACATCAGCATGATGATCACCGCTCGCAAACGGCTCCTTCCACGTATGCTGAACCGGACATACTTATTCAGAGGCCAATCATTCGAGATGAAGAACTACAGCGTATTGAGGCAATTTCTATGGATGAAGGCTGGGCCAAGGATGACGAAATTGATTACAACCAGAAATTGCAATTCTCTGATGATGAATTGGAACCGAGTCCACCGAAAGAGATTCCATTGCACGCAACGAAACAGGAAAAATCACCACCCCCACAGCAGCAGCAGCAGCAGCAGCAACAGCAACCAACACAGCAGCAGCAACAGCAGCCAACACAGCAGCAGCAACAACAGTCGCAACAGGAGGATGATAAGCGAATGGCTTGGAGTCGCGAGGTGGAACGAGAACAGGAGAGGCTTGAACAGGAACGAATGGAACGGATCGAACGTGAGCGACAGGAACGAGAACGAGAACAATCGTCCATGCGGCCAACTCAGCAAAATGGTCACATAGGTGGTCGAGGGTTGGATGCAGAAGCAAAAGAAAGGTTAAAGCAACGGCGGGAAGAGGATCAGAGACGGGAAATGGAACGGAAGCAAGCGGCAGCAAGAAAACTTCAGGAACTCGAACAGAAGTTGAGCCGAAAGAAGACAGAAGACACCGCAGCGGGACCTATCACTCCTTCGCCAATGACGACGAAAGACGATGAAGAGCGTGAGCAAACAGTGACTGGTTATAACGAATCCAGTGAAGTTAAGGAACGTAGCAGTTCGAGCGGCCGTGGAGGAGATCGAGAAAGGGTTGACTCGAAAGAATTTCGAGATCGTGATCGTGATCGTTTTGATTATGGAAGACATGAGAGAGACTATCGTGATCGAGATAGAGGAGATCGGGATAGAGTAGAGCGAGGAGATAGGACAGAAGTATGGGGAGAGGTACCGCCGTTCTCGAAGAATTTTCAATCCAATTTACCGCCTCGATTCCAGAAGCGTAAGCTTGAGCGCAACCCCTCGGGCAGCAGTTTGCAGGGTAGCGGAAACTACATCAGCAGAGACCAGAACAACGGTCGCAACAATAGCACTGCCAATCAAGGGCCAATAGCGTCGCAGTCGCAACAGCAAAGCGAGGGGAAGAATGTTCCATTCGCTCAGCAGTATGATCCACGTTTTATTCATAGTCAGCAGAATTATGGAAAGACTCAATCTTCCACCTCCTCCAGAAGGGGTGCTCCAGGGGACGATAATTCTCGCAGCCGCGATATGAGAGATCGTGGAGATGATCGTGATGGAGCAACTAAAGATAGGGATCAACAACGAGAGCGGGAAATGGTTCCCAGAGAAATAATGAAACGTCGTATCGATTCGGAGGAGGACGATCGTTTTAGTAGCAGTGGAAGAGAATCGTCAAGTAAGCTAAGCGGTGGTAGAACTACCCCACAATTGGTCAGAAGTGTGTCCGACACATCTCAAAGGAAAACTAGTGTGTCTAGTGACGATAATAATCGTCAGTTGGATCATCACCATCATAACAGTTCCAGAGAAATCATTGGTTCATGGGAATGTGAAACCGAGAAGGAGGACAGACGGCAGGCGGAAGCTGCTGCAGCTCTGGCTAAAGAAAATCAGCTGCAACAACTTCACCTGCAACAACAGCAGATGGAAAACCGTAGAATTTCTGAATCTTCAGTTCTATCTGAGGGTGAGCCAAAGCAGATTCTACAGAGAATCAAAGAATCTTCAGCTACGTTGCCTGAAGAACCATCGAAAGCCAACGCAAGGAGCGACGAATTTAAATCAAATGAACCCAAACTGCTGTCGAGAGCGTGGGAAGATACTGTCGAGGCTGCTGAAGAGGCTCAATTGAAGGCTTTGGAGCAGAGTTCGACTGTGGATGACAAAAAAGATGTATCTGGTGCAGAAGCGTCAAAAAGCGTTAGTGGAAAAGAGGGCGAACAGGAAGGCAAAATGAGCACTTCTCAGGGAAGTGTTGGCAGTGGCAAAGAGATGGATGACAGCAAATATGGATCGAAGAAACCGATGCATCCGAGAGGAACGGGAAGACACGAACCGCGAGGAGGAGGTCATCCGAGAGGAAGCGGTTATGGCGGTGGAGGAGGATATCATCGTGGTGGCAGCAGTTGGGGTCGTAGAGGTGGTGGTGGACCTAGAGTCGGACATGGCCGTAACTACAACCAAGACTATTGGAGCGAATCGGACTATTCTGATGATGGCGAAGAAGAGTTCAGAAAGGACGGAAAATACGAGCGTAAAGAAGGGAATCAGTATCGGCATGGCGGTTCATCGGTTGGTGGTCAGTCACAAAATATGAAAGAAGGGTTTGCACCACGAGGAGAACCATCTCGAAGAGGTCGTGGCGGTATGAGTACCGCTATGAGTGGTCCAGGTTTTCGTAAATCAACAGTTGGAAAGAAAATTGACGGGTATGGGCCGCCTAGTTCTAAGAGTCCTTTTGGAAGCAGCGAAGAGAAAGGCGACTCAAAGAATCAAACGGCACCAAAGGATAGCAAACCTGTTGATCAAACTTCGAACGCTGATGACCGAACAAAGCAGAAACAAGCTGCTTTGAGTGCTGGCCTCACAAACAAACCGGTTGGCGGGTCAAAGCCAAGTGGGTCACTGCCTCAAAGGAGTCCTTCTGGAAACATGAAACCTCCTGGTAAACCTGCAGAAGAGACACTTTCCGAGCAGGAAAAACTTAAGGCTTCCTTGGAGCAAATCCCTCGAAATGACAGTAAAACAGAATCTCACGATGAGAAGGTGAAGGAAAAAACCAAAACCGACAGCGAGAGTCATGATACGGATGATGTGAGCAAGGACAGCCAAAAAAGTACACAACTTCGAGCTAAACAGCAACAGCAGCAGCAACAACAGCAGCAACAACAACAACAACAACAGCAACCGCAGCTGCAACAACCAACAGTTATGAAAGCACCACAGCAGACAGCACCCGCAGCTTCCGGAAAGCCTTCAACGACCACAAAACCAATCACCGTTGGTCCACCAGGAGCAGCAGCTGCAGCAGGTCAAAAGGTGACAACAACTCCTGCTGCCCCAGGCATCCAGCAGGCTAAGCCTGTTCAAGATACGCGAAGTCAGGCCAGCGCTCGCTCGATGAACATTACTCCACGTTTGGTTAAACCCAAGGATCGACGTGATGGTGGATTCCAGGATGGTCAACAAAGTGGTAGCGAAACCAATGAGTCTGAATCAAACACTACGGCAAATTCTCAGCAACCAGCAGCGCAAGAGAAGGTAAGCACGTTGAACGTCAACTCTTCAAAGACTGATAATAGTAAGCAACATTTGGACGGAGCCACGCCACCCGTAAATACTATCATTTTCGAAAACACCAACTACAAGTCTTCGACAGCTGCCGTTGCTGCAGCAGTGCAACAGCACCACCATCAACAACAACAACAGCAGCAACAGACGCTGCAACAGCCACTCCAAATTCAAGTACAGCAACAGTTGCAGCAGCAGCAACAACAACAGCAACAACAACAGCAACAGCAACAGCAACAACAACAACAACAACAACAACAGCAGCAACAACAACAGCAACAACAACAACAGCAGATACCTCCATCAGCCCAAATCAAACGCCAACATTCTGGAGGACCTACTGGTCCACTTGGTGTTCTTCAACAACAGCATCAACAGCAACAACAACAACCACAACACCAACAGCAACAGCAGATGGCACAAATGTGCAAACAGGATCACCCGGTGAGACATCCATCGCAGGAGGAAGTATTCAAAGTGGTTGCTGGTGGTGCTACCGCTGGATCAATGCAAGATATTATGGAACAACAACCACAGCAACCGCAGAGACCGCAGTCAGCAAATGGACCACAACAACATCAACCGCTTCCGCAGCAGGCCCAGCAGCAACAAATGCAGCAACCGGTGACGCAACAACAACAACCGAGTTCTCAAACCGATGTTATTACAAGTGCTCTCCATAACATGACGTTTCAGAAGCCAGCGGATGCTGATTACGACAAGGAAATGAAGCCATTTTTTGATGCCGAAATTTCTCAACTGATCGAAGCTAAAAATAAAGCTGCCGGACTATGTCTTCCGAAGGCACAGAACATGATATCTCCATCGACGGCAGAACTCAACTTGAAGATTGCCAGCGTGAAGAAAGTATGGGAGATGCCAACTGTACCAGAACATGTCACCGAGGATCCCTCTAGTGCGGCTGCTGCAGCTGTTCAACTGGCAGCCAATTTTGCGGTAGTATCCTCTCAGCATCAACAACATCTTCATCAGTTCCAACACTCACACGGTAATCTGTCTCATACCCATCCTGCTCATTCATTGGCTGCTGCTGCCGCCGCAGGTCAGTCGTATGCGGGAGGGTTTGGCCAAGAACAGCAGTCTCTTGATCAGCATTTCAATAAAGCCAACAACGAAAGCGTAGTAATCGGAGGATCAGGTGGAAATGATGGCGATAACAATTATAGCAACCAACAGCATGCAGTTGTTGGGCAAGGAAATAACATTCAGCATCAAGCGGCAGCGAACATGAATATGAAACATGCGGCTGACGTGCTAGCCAACAATGTTAACGTATGCAAAGTGAAACCAACACAGCAAAATATGCATCAATCGACGGGCTTAGGTCTTTCGCCACCCCCGATGCAGCAAGGTACTATTCCATCCGCGCCGCAGACGTACTATCAACCATCGCAGTATGGAATGTCTGCCATCCCGTCGCCACCAGCCGTGATTTACAATTCTTCAGCAATGCCTTCTCAAGGAGGTCTCTACAATGCATTCCAAATCGAGGCAGCGGGTCGTTCGCAGTTTTCGCAATTCCCCGGTCACTATGGAACTACCGGAACTGGACCGTATAATGCGTACATGGCCACGCCCCCGAATCTGCAAACTGCCCCCACGCCGGACATATATCCGAGTATTACATCCCACTTTCGTATGGGCGGTGCCGTCCAAAGCCCTTACAATCCATCGCCATCGCAGCAATTGAATAATCCCAGCACAATGCTGATCTCATCGAGCACAAACTCGCTCATGTCTTCGTCGGTGAAACCTTCGTCCCAACAAATCGGTGCAATAGGCTCTAAGAGTGGTTCCGTTGGCCAGCCCTATGGTCAGCAATATATGGGTATGTTCCAACCGGCTCCACCACTGCAAAACAACAGCTTCTATTCAAACTCCGCTGGTGGCCAAAGTGCATTTTTCGGTGGAGCAGGCGCTACACAGAATTATGGCATTCAGGCGGCAGCTGCAGGTATGTTCGGTGGCCACGGGGCACAAACTCCTTCCAATGCCCCACCGCCACAGCAGCAGTTACCGAACTATGCCAACGCATCGCAGTTTTTGAGTTCACCGTTGGCACTAGCGGCAAATGCAGCGATTTCGCAGCAGTATCGAGGAGGTCCGACTACGAATCCACAATCAGCAGCTGCTGCGGCATACATGAAGGGAAACCAACCACAGTCACACATGCAGGATCCCGTGAGTTATCACCCGTTCAAACACTATAAGTAGTTTACTTCCTTGTGGTTTATGCTTTCTTTTTTTTGTGTCGTATTGTTTGTTTCATTTTGGTGGCAGCACGCAAACACTTAAGTATGAGTTTGAGGTGATTTTGAACACCTAGTGCAGGAATTTAGAGCATAATATACTATATTCCAGGTGAAAAGAAACATATTTGCTAAATACTAAAATGTATCGATAAAATAAAACCTAGACAAAATGCAAACCCATCTATTATTACTCATTTTCCGCTGAAAATATGTTCAAGTTCACCTCGTTTGGTGTGGGCAACGCACCGCTTTATTTAAGTTTCATTCCGTTAAGGTGATACGATCCAACGTTTCTTGGACACTATTGCGGTTTCAGGCATTAAATTTGCATTACCAATTTGGGGCTGTTCATTAACTACGTAGACTCCCCTCGCTATTTTTAAAATTTGTATGTCCCCCCCCACCTAAACTGTCTACGTAGTTACTGAACAGCCCTTTGTTTTCCGGGGGCAGATAATTATCGCTTGGAAAATGCGAAGTGGCATCAGAGCCCGGGCTTCTGGATCGTATCACCTAAATGTTTTCTACTAGAAAACTTCATTCCAATTTGCAAGGATTAATCATTTGTCATGTACCAGCTACTCACTGAATTTGAATTGGAATTTTCATACTTGATTGATGGTCACTAGTATAACTAATAAGGTGATGTTTTTGCAAAATTTGTATGTGTTTGTGTGAGTTCATATAGTCGTACGAATGAAAAATGAAACACTCTTCCCCTTTGTTAATCCTTGCAGAATGGTCGGCAGCTGAAAAGCCCTTTGAATTCTGATGGCATGAATAATTTAAAACAGATTCCACCTCAAGCGAGTCCACCTCACCATAAGGGTTACGCAACGACAGCAGTAAGTTTGTGCGCTTTCAAGCAATTGAAAAAGTGTTAATTTAACTTTTTTTCCGTTTATTTAAAATAATCTCTTATCAGTGGGAGCTACAAAATCAACTGATGCAGCAACAACAGCAACAACAGCAGCAGCAGAGTCAACAGTCCAATCCGCAGCAACAGCAACCACAACAGCCGAATCCGCAACAGCATCCACAGCAGCAGATGGCTCAGCCACCGCAGTCTCAGCAGCCCAACCCGAATCGTAATATGATGCCACCGAATCAGCAACCTCCGGCAGGACTAGGAGGTGCCGCTGGTGGAGTAGGAGGACGACCTCCGCAAGGCGTGCAGGGTGGTGGTATTCCTCAGCGGTACCCATCGCCGATTCAACGACCGACCAATTACTCGCAGCCACCAGTGCCGGGTATGCATCAGCAGCGACCGATCCGTCAGTCCGGTCATAATCCCGGTCAGCAGCAGCAAGCCAATATGGCACAAGCAATGGGTAATCCCAACAAACATTACTATGGAGGAAATCGAGGTTAGTAGAGATGGTTGCTCTCTATAAACTTAGCCATTCCAGTTTAACATCTGAGGGCACGTTGATCATCCGTACTGGTTTACGTTTTTTTCGTAAATGTTTCCAAATTATAGTTGGATGTGAAGATTGTACGACGTTTCTCTGAGCACAACAGTTTCCCCGATTGTAACGTTTCCCCGTTAAGTTGTTTTCCACAAACACACACACGCCTCACGTACGTTAGTTGAACATATTCAAGAATAACAATACGCTGTCTTCGAAGAATTTGTTAGGGACATACCTTAAGGCCTAAGCAATGGTCCTATTGAAGTTTAAGACCGACAGTTGATCTAGTTACAGTAAAATACGAAAAACACAGCTCCGTTAAAGCAAAGATCAAATTAATAATTATTGAATACCCCAAACAAAATTTTAGAATGGCCCGATGAATCTGAGAAAAAAAGGTAAACAATTCTTATCAATCTCAAAAAATGAACAGGGGCAATATAATTCCTAGCCTTATACCAGAAACTGCCCGGATAGGGTCATAGCTTCTTCGTAGTCAATAGATTCCAGATTCAGAAAGTCTTGGAATTCGTTGACCTGCTACCAAGATGACCAGAGAAGTTGCAGTGTCCCAGATTTTATAGAATAATTCATTTGTCATTTCCCAAGATACAGAACAACAATAGGTATGTGGAATATACATTTAAAATATTGATTCGTATACAAAGCAAAGATCTAACCAATTTTCATCATCCTCTTTGAAAACTTGGATAAAATCAGTTCTGGATCTCCTTGGAACCTTCTGGTTAGTTTAACTCATTTCCGCCCAGCATCCCAAAAATAAGACACTACTTGTCTTGTCCAATGTCCTAGGATTCAAACAAGATGGATGCTTTGACTTCGGAGTTGACCAACTAGGTGCTGTTAGCGCCTAGAAAAAAATAAAAGTTTAATTTATGAATTTTGGCAGAATTTGATCCTTATGATCCTGACCAAATATAATTGCGTGAGAATTTTAAGACGTAACCGCATTTTAATTCAAAACATTTTAGTCTCACATGGTGGCGCTAGTGAGCAAAGCAATATTGCTGGTACAGGTTTACTGATATGGGTTAAACCTGGTCTAAGGCTTAAGCGCGGCCAAAGAAACCAGCTCTATAAGATATACCCTAGGCCCTAATGATGTGGAATGTTCTCGTCATCGGCAAAGCTGTTCAGTCGAGTGATACTTTCAAGATGGCAGTTTGATTAGTTCGAAATTGGCACAGAAGATGGTGTTAGTGAGTAAACATATTATTATATACTGAGATCTCTTGATTGCGGCCATTTCGAAAACTCCCGAATTGCGCCAATTTTACAGATTTCACATTTAGTTCAAATTCATTAGGTGGTGCTAGTGAGCATATTTTTAAAAATAATATCTCTTGATCTATAGTTTAGGATTGGTTTACCACCTTAATAAAAATATTATTAGGGTAGAAGGCGCTATAAGTAACCTAACGTATTTTATATTCTTTCTTAGTTCCGTTTTCAAACGAAATGTTTTTTAACACATTTCTTACGGCAGATATCTATACGTTTCGCTTAGCTCAGGGGTTTAGCTCAGTCGGGAAAGGCGCAGCTATAAAACAAGACCATACTGAAGGCGGCTGGGTTCGATTCCCCGGTCCTGTTTAGGAATTTTTCGGGCTGGAAAATTTCTCGACTTCCCTGGGCAATAGAATACGATTGTACGGAACTTGCTACACAATATACTAATGCAAAAAGAGTACAGGCTTAGAAAGCTCTCAATTAACAAATGCGAAAGTACTCAAAGAACATTCAGTTAAGAGCCGGCGTAAAATCCCAACCCAAGAGAAAAAAAACTTTCGATCGAATACGGGAATATATTTTGTGATTGTATTTCAATATATTAACCAAGAAAGTTCCCAGCTTCAGCAATATAGTTTTCAGCACAATTCCATCCCATCTACTGCTGCAACGGCGATATTGACGAAATAGCTTTCGTCACTGGGGGAAGCCAATTTGGCATAAGATTGATCGGCATAAAGTAATTTGGCATAATCTTCGAAAAACTTAAAAATGACAAAGTGAATCGTTTGACATTACTGCCTTTGGCATAATCTCTTTTTTTAAACTTTATTCAAGTGATTTTTAGCCGGGGCTAGTTCATCACATCTTGGCTAACAAATGGCCAAACGACTTTATGCCAAATGGGCTTCCCCCGTTATAGTCAATTTGTTCAGTTACGACGTCAAAAATAGTGTTGTCAATATGTATTGCATAAAATCTTTCACCACTGATTTTATCGACGAGAGGCGGAGCGAACCATACGAATAAAAACAAGCTTATACCTATTCGACTTAAGACTCGTTTTTGAACCACCAAACTGTATAGCAGTAGAAGCAAAGTGAATAAATTAAAGTTGTTGGTCAAGTAGCAAAAGTGTTCTCATTCGTCGAGCCGATCATCCCGTATACAGTCCACTTGGCCTAGTCGATGATCCTGCATCTAAAAGGCATCGTTAATTCAAAGGGTTTTTCTAAAAACAAACCAGAGTAGGTACATTATTTCAGGACGATTGTCCTTCTGCTTATATTCCACTACTACGGAACAGTTGATACGACACGTAAAAAATCTCTAGATTTGTCCAATAAGACGACCAATATCAGCTATACAGTATATAGGGGTCAATGTCCCTAATGTCCCTAATATTGGACCCATGCTTAAATTCTGATGAGCATTTTGATAGATTGTCATTAGCATCAATTAGACAGTTGACCCTTGAGTCCTCTGATGTTGATTTATAGCCCGCAAGGCCTATGGAATTAACCTACCACATCCCTGTACTGCCCATAAAAGCATAACAGTCACATCCTTGCTTGATTTCCTATTCAAATGCGACTGTTATGCGTAGTGTAGTTGCCCCATAAGCACTTCAATTGATTCATATGATTTCTAAAGATCACTCATAAGGTCTCTGAACTTAATCCATAAAACTTACGAAGCTGATTACTAAAGTCTCTGAAATTCACTCATAAGACCTCAGGAGTTTCTTTCATAATCCCTTTTTTCCCTCTATACCACTATATACAGGTTCCACTTCCTACTACCCACTTACAAGTCTACTCAAATCCTTCCACCTGCTGTTACCACTATTATCGGGGCCTCTCAACTAATGTCGTTAACGTTTCTCTCTTACCTCTGCTGATTCATCTACATCTCATTGAGCCAGGGATGGACGTTATCTTGCACTTTTCTGGTTTTTCAACACTGCACTCTAATCACTTCACTTCCTCTCACTTCGCTTGCGCTTCGGCTTAGACTGCAGCTTCGGTGAACCTTTAAACCTGTCAACGCGAGGCTACCACCATTTCGTAGAAATGTTGACTTGTCTGGATTTGTGACGCGCACGGTGCGGCGATCGGAGATCAGGTTCGATCCGTACATACTACCGGCGTTTGGTGTGGACGATTCAATGCCGTCCAAGCTTAAGCACAACACTTACACTCCATTTCCCGGACCTTTCTGGCTTCCCGGGAAACGGGAAGCAGTTCATGGATCATCCCGGGAATTCTCGGGAACCGTTGGCAGTTATTAATCAAAATGTTTATTTTTTTAAAATTCTTCTTTCCTTTATTTAACGTCGGTCTCTGTTCCGCAATCTAGTGTCAATCACCGACGGACATCGATTGCCATCCATTGACGGCAATCGAATGTACAGGAAGGCAGCTTCCACACCTTCGTAGGATATCGCACCCATTCAACACACATGGGCCGGGACCAACGGCTTTACTTCCCTTCCGAAGGAAGACGTGACCAGAGATGTTTATGCCTCAGAAAAATCCCACCGACCTCGGCTGGGATTGAACCCAGACCCATCGGGGTGTTAGAAAGCAGTCACGCTTACCACTACACCACCGGCACCGGCTTAAAAATCCTATAGAACGATTTTCAAAATATGGAATAGTTTAACCACTTCATTTTAATATTGTTGCTTCCATCGGCATTTTTTTTTTGAGCTGCCTCCAATTTTTCATTTGACTTCTTCTGGATTTTATTTTGCAACTACCCTTGGGAGTTTCTTTTGAGTCAGAGAGCTGAAGTTTACCCACAAAATCTCTGCAGATTACTTATAAGACTCTGGAGTTAATTCAGGCGATATTTGAGATTGATTCAGAAGGTTTCTCGAATTGGTACGTATTAAGGCATTTGATCTCAACCCATAAGCGTACGGAATTGAAATTAATGGTCGTTAAAGATAACACACATGACCGATAGAGTTATGGGAAGTTAACTCATTCGGCCGCTGAAAAGTCTTTAACATTAATCTAAATCATAATTTCTTTAGACTTTGCTCTTACCAATCAGGGTACCCAAGTAACCATAAGCTCGTTATTTCGTATTTTTGGCTATATACAGCTGAACAACGGCTATACCAGTGTTTATACGTTCTGATGAGGCCGTGCCTATAGTTCCTTGGGTAAGGCTTGGATGTTCTTTGTTGTACCCAGAAGTCGTCTCCATGCAACTAGATCCATGCTTGTACGTCCACCTTGCCCGCTGCGCGCCTTTTCGTCTCGTTCCAGTCTGTTCGTTATCGAGAATAATTTTCACCGATCTATCGTCCGACATTGTTGCGACAAATCCAGCCCACCGTAGTCGCCCGATTTTTGCGGTTCTCCCAGCAGCTGGTGCAATTCATTCACCTCCTCCACGAACCGTCTTCCATCTGCACTTCACCGTAGATGACACGGAACACCTTCCGTTCAGAAACCACCACCAGGGTTGGTCCTCCACGACCATAGTCCAGGTCTCGTCGCTAATCAACATTTTGTAGATGGTCAACTACGTGCGGTGGCGAATTTTATTCGACACGGTTCCACGCCATAATGCGTCTTTGGATTTCTCTGCTGATGTCATTATCGGCGGTCACCATTGAGCCCAAATACACGAATTCGTCTGCTATCTTGATTTCATCATCGTCATTCCGTCAAGTTGATCAATAAAGCCTATTGATATTTACTATCCTCTATGTTCTGCCGACGCCGTGTTTGAGTGGTAAACAAGAATGATTTTCACCGCAGTGGGTGTGGTTGGGGCCTCCCTTAGCTTAGTCGGTAAAGGCGCAGCTACAAAGCAAGACCATGCTGGAGGTGGCTGGGTTCAATTCCCGGTCCGGTCTAGGAATTTTTCGGGTTGGAAAATTTCTCGACTTCCCTGGGCATAGAAGTATGATTGGACTTGCCACACAATTATACCAATGCAAAAATGGTACAGGCATCGAAAGCTCTCAATTAATAACTGTGGAAGTGCATCTAGAACACTAAGTTGAGAGCACGCAATAAGCTAATATGCGATATGCAATAAGCTTGAAATGCGAAGAAGAAGAAAGAAGAAGAAGGGTGTGGTTTCAGGGGCCTCAGATGGCCTAGTTAATTAAGATGTTTACTTGTTGTTGCCTTTTTCTTATCACACTTCGCAATTTCAAGAGCACACAAATCTTAAGATTTACCTTGTTATAAATCTATCAATTCAAAACCTTGCTTGCGTTCTCCACAGTAAACCACAAGTAGGTAGTAGTTTCAGCTACACGCATTCACAAAACTTTAATATTTAACTTGTGAAATTGCGAAGTGTAGTGCGAAAAAGGACGCTACAAGGAATCTCCTTAAGTGGGTTTTCGATTACTGGTCTAGAAAATCTTTCGAACTAGACACTTTCTCGACTTCCATGGGCTCCTGCGTAGAAGGAAGAGATGCAACGAACTCTTAGTTGAGAGAAGGCAAAACACTTGCGTAAGAAGCGTCAAAAGCCATAAAGAAGAAGGATGTGGGTTCAAACCGAAGCGAGATTGTTGGGGATTTTCTGAGGTGAACAATCACTGGTCACGTCATCGTTCGGTATCTAGGGTCCTGGTGCGGAGTCGCCTCCCTGGCGTGCGGAACAACGACTGACGGAAAATAAATAAAAATATCAAAAAACCTGTTTAGTCCGTAGGAACTCTGGGATTGACTCAAGAGGCGTCTTATAGTGATGCCGTCATTGATTGATAGCAGTTCAAAATTTCCGTTATCATGAAACTAAAATATTCTTAAGACGGTCTTAAGCAGCTTCCCACGTTCCTTTCTTAGGAAATTTTCCTATTCGGGAAAACACATACAGGTTTATTTTTTGAGGAAAATAAATTTCAGGGAAATTTACTCCGGGGAAACGAAAGTCGTACAATTGGATCTGAAACCTGACATCTAAAGTTTAGTTCTACAAAATAATAAAGGCTATTCAGCATGTTCATGACCTAGTCTTGTGTACCCTGTGAAACAATGCACATCAGCTTCTTAACTCATCTAACTTTTTTCAAGCCGCTTTTAATTGGGTGGTAAAGTGAATATTAACCATCTTCATGTTTGTCTATTTATTTATTTGCGGTATGAATATTGCTTACCACAAAAAATAAAATACTATTGAGAATTTTGTTAGTTCAATTCAAAACTCGAATCACATCAGTTGAGCCGGAACTTGCGGAACCACAAAAATTCACGTCAGTTTAATGTTGGACCATTCGAAGGGTATTGTTATCATCTTGTTTAATTTATAGGTGGCGGTCACGTCAGCGCAATGAATGATCAAAACCTTGGTGGAAAACCTGGCGGTGGAAATGAGAAACCAGTACTCGACGGAGATGTAAACAAGGATGATTCCAAGAAGAAGTGAACGAAAAATCAAGTTATCTTCAATGGAGCCTATATAGATGAAAATTGGTTACTTAGGGGCAACACAAACTAAAAAAAAAATACCTAGAAAAAGTGATGGGATATTAAACATACATTTTGGTCGTAAAGTACTGAGTTCTACTTACTGGAAGAGAGGAAAAGTATTCATTTTACAGTTATAACAAGAAACGGAAAATACATAACCAACACTAAAACAGAGGAAAGTGCTTAGACGATTCTGGAAGTCAATGTAGTCTATCGGAAAACATGTATTATTGGTAAACAAAAAAAAAATATCTATTTATTAATTCAAATAGTTAATGAAAATCATCGGAAATTGATTAACCACATACAGAAACTACGAAAAAACATGCGTTAATCGCGACAAATTAACAATTATCGTATCAAAACATATAAAAGTGCACCTATGAAAATTGCTGTTTTGGAGTGCAAACAGCTGTTACGTCTGGGATGCAAAGGACATTTATTTGTTTGACTTGATACAGGCAATGCTTATTATACACTCCCAAGCATCAGTGAAGTGCATCGGTTTGACTGACCTTCACTATAAACGCAAAACAAAAAGAATGAACTTTTAAAACCTACTTAATTAATAACCTGATCCGTGTTTATTACTTTAGCTGTTTTCTACCACACTACAATTGAAGCAGGGACGATTGGTACTGAATTAATTTCTGATTATTTCTATGAAAGAATGTCAGCAGACTAAAAACAATATGCACACATGGATGTTTCCTAAAGCATGTATCTTTCATTATGTATACACATTCAACGACACTTGATTGATGATTCGCCACAAGGTTGATCATTTTTGAAACTCAACTATTATATGAAGCTTCTTCCCTTTTACAAAGGAACTGCGGGAAGGAACTAATCGACATGGCGAAGAAAACGAAGAAAAATCAAAACTGGCAAAATGCTTGCTGCTGACACGGCAAATGGGATTCGACGAGAAAATGAAAAATCATAACTGCTACTACTGCTACTATACTTTCACACAACCGTTCACGTTTGCACGGCCGGCAAGTTTCCGTTACCTGCTCAGACAGCAATCCGGAATTTGCGGGAAGTTGGGCCGTCCTCCTTGATCGAAATTCCTCTGTCGCCAAGGACAGAGGTTTTCATGTGTAATGAAATCAAACCTTACATAAAAATTACCCTAAGCAAACAAATATTCAATGGAAGTAAACAAGTATGTCTACTCAGAAGACTATTAGCTTAATACAATTATAAGAAGAATAAACAAGAAACATATAATTAAATAATGCATAACAAAACAACTACATATAAATGATAAACAAACACAAGTTTCAAACGATTACACTAGTAACTCACTTTATTAATGATTATTCTTATTGATAACAGAAGTACGTGAAATATATTTGAATATAATCATTATTTTGTCGTAACATCATTGCGTATTTTGATCAAACTATAAAGCCAGATAGAAAGGATTATTCAACCGGCTTTGTTCATTATTATTATTCTAGAAATAAATGAATAAACCTACGTATTAATGATGAAGCATTATTATTCAACAAAAAAAAAATGAACGCAAAACCGCAACCTGTCAGGTGATCGAAAACAAGAAAGTGAAAAACAGAACACAATTGGACGGTATGGTCTCACAAAACATGAATGACCTGCATCAATGCTAATAAGATGAAAAATAGGAAAAAAAGCTGGCTAGTATGATTGATATGGATTTAAATTTGCAGAAATAAGCAAGCGAGTTTTAGTTTATGTTTAAAGGAAAAAATGTTTTATTTATTTTCTACATTAATGATTAATTCACAACTGAATTAAAAAAAAAGAGAGAGGTGTTAGCGAAAAATCACACAGACACATATACACACAAACACACACACAGACGCATATACACAGCAAAAAAACAATGTATGAGTAATACACACCTACACAATTAGAGGATTGGAGTGCATAGAAAGGAGTGAGGACTGGTTAAAAAAAAAGTTTGATCAGAAGGAAAGGATGAAGCAACATTAATAGATGAATGATTATGAAACATTGAGAAAAATGAATACATTCAAGTATCTAAAACAATTAAAAAAAAAGTTTATAAAATTCTGAAAATGGCATGAAAAAAATAATAAAAGTCGATAAAACGAAAATCTAGGAAAACTCCATGACTTCGTTGTTTTTTTTTTAATCTATATCCGAAATCGCCCATGATAACAGAGTATTTTCACTATACATTTGGTTGCCGATACAAGAAGAAACGACATTCAAAACTCACACCAGTATGTCTGGATTCTATCCTAGCCGAAGTCGTTGGAATTTTTTCTGAGGCAACAAAATCTCTGGTCACGTGTTCCTTCGGATGGGAAGTAAAGCCGTTGGCTTTGGCCCATGTGTTGATGGGTTCCATAGGTTTTCCAGGTGTGGAAGTCGCCTCCATGGCACTCGATTGCCGTCGGTAAGTAGCACTGGATTGCGGAACAGAGACCGGTTGAAAAGAAAAAAGGAAAATAATAATCAATTCTTGTGGTTTGTATTGATCATTTAGTGACCTGAATTTGCACATTTCTGTTTAGTAGCGGTGTATTGTTCATTGTTTTATTGTTGTTTTACATCAACAGGCTGGATGAAGCCCCAATGATGTTAACCTTATCAACTATGGTAAAAAAAATACATTCAAGCATGGTCATAACATGGTCATATCTTATAGTCAGGCCGGCGAAAAACAGAAAACAACTTTCGACGAAGCGCATCACGGGAGAGATGAAAGTTGAAAACAGATGCAACTCTGTTGTATGTTTTTTTATGCAAATCGCACCGTATGCTCTAGAGGTGGGCAACCCAACAAACAATTTTAGCTGCAGATTAGCTTATACAGCCAAAATTTGCCTTATGCAGCTAATTTTTGCCTGTATAAGCTAAGCTGCAGCTAAAATTGTTTGTTGGGAAAACAGCTCATCTGGCTGAGTCGATCAAACCCATTCAGCTCACTAAAGGGAGTCGATTCTTTTGAACAGCCCTTCAGCTCATATTGAAATTATAGAAATTATGACACAAATTCAAAATCGGAAAATTAATTAGTGGTTTTAGTGCTTAAAACTGCATAAAACCGTAGAAGTAGCCTAACCCAATAAATCCGTACCTTACAATATGGCTCTACTTTTCAATGGAAAACGCCACTAACGCAATACCTGATCAACCATCGCGTAAACCAAAATGCGCGCAAAATGTGCCAACAACATAGACTGAGGCAAATAGTCCTAAGAATTTCATAAGGCTAGACTTATGAACAACATATATGAATTTCATAAGCGTGACTTATGAATGATTTTAGGGTAACATGAGGTAGCTCTTACATATATGCCTTTAACCATTTCATTTTGCCAAGCGTTGAAAGACGAGTAGTCACCACACGGGCCCTCTAAACTCGACGTACATTTTCCCGTTCCAGTCTGCTCCGATTTATTATTTTTTTTGTCAACATTATTTTTCATAAGGCAAATCAATGAAATTAACACTCATTTCTTATGGCTAAAATTCACAAGTGTTTCTTATGGAATTCTTACGTTCTTTTGCCTGCGTGTATCAGTAAAAGCAAAAAATGTATGCTAGAGAGCTACACCTATGTCACATGCGATGATATGATTAACATCGTGACACACGATGTTACGCCTTTTCCCAAGCTAGTGTGAATTTTATTGATTTGCCTTTTGAAAAATAATGTTGACAAAAAAATAATAAATCGGAGCAGACTGGAACCGGAAAATGTACGTCGAGTTTAGGGGGCCCGTGTGGTGACCACTCGTATTTCAACGCTTGCAAAAATGAAATTGTTAAGGGCATATAAGAGCTACCTCATGTTACCCTAAAATAATTCATAAGTCACGCTTATGAAATTCATATATGTTGTTCATAAGTCTAGCCTTATGCAATTCTTAGGTCTATTTGCCTCAGTGTACATACAGATTTTATGTGTGATGTTAATTCTCCGCAGAACTTCTCTCACTATTCTCGGCTTCAGCTCCAGATCATCAGCTCAGATCCGGATCCGGAGCTGAATCGTGAAGAATCGAGAGAGAAAAAAAAAGATCCGAAGAGCTGGACGGGTCCGAGCGTTGTGAACCTAAACAGCTCCCAGTGAATTATTCGAGTAGATGATTCGGATCCGGAGCTGAACTGATAAGATGGAAAGCTGCATTTCGCTTTTCGGTTATTTGCTTTTGTGCGGATCTTCCGCTCCCCAGAGAATAATGGGAGGAGAGGTAAGAGCAAATTTGCTGAAGGAATAACATCAGCAATAAGAGCCGGGTACATAAATAAATTGGATAATACCAGTAGAAAATTACAATGTGTAGCACATGTGCATATGTCTCTCTCTCCCAAACAGCCGCTTGGAAGTTTGCTTTTACCATTGGTGCTGTCGATCAGTAGGCACATGGTGTACTACGCGCGCGTTTTGGTTTACGCGGTGACTGGTTTGAATGGTTTAGACTTGTGATATCAGTGAGCTGATGATCTGCGGTTCCTTAAAAATGAACCGTGTTTCATCAGCTCACTTTAGAGAATCGGGTCTATAGAACAGCTCGGGAGCGGATCGCCTATCTCTAGTATGCTCCATAATTTGTGCGACGTAGAGGCAGTCTTAGTATAAGGTTATTACGAAGCGGGCGGGGTTCAACATTCAGGTCAATTTGCCTCAGGATAGCCTCGCAATCTGTCCTTCCTTGCAGGATATCGGCCACGGTTAGGGCTCTGCTTGCGTCTCTTCTAGTCCGGAGAAGTTCTAGGTCGATAAGTTGACAACGGCTTTCGTAACTGGGTAATCGAAACGGATCATTCCAAGGCAATCTACGCAACGCAAAACGAAGAAAGCGACGTTGAACAGATTCAATTCTCTCGGCACCGTTGTTGTAGTTTGGGTTTCAAACCGCTGAACAATAGTCAAGCGTCGAACAATAGGGAGATATCAGTGAAGTTTTTAGCTATCCTAAAAATGAACCCAAAAGTTCTTGACGCCTTATCAACAACATATGCAATGTGTTGCGTGAATGAAAGCTGCGAATCCTAGATCACACCCAAGTCTTTCTCCTGATTCACGCGTTCGATTGTCGAGCCAAGCAGGTCATAGCTAAATATTATCGGTTGTTGTTTTCGTGAGAACGTAATAGCGGAGCATTTGGCTGGGTTCACTACCATTTTGTTTAACCTGCACCAACTAGCGAATACATTCAGTTGACGTTGAAGAAAGTGACAGTCAGCAATGGAGCAGATTCGTAGGAAGATTTTGAGGTCATCTGCATATGATAACCGAGGAGCTTCGATGACCAGATGCACGTCGTTGAAGTACAGTATAAAAATTAACGGTCCCATGTGGCTTCCCTGAGGTATACCTGATGTAGCGAAGAAGCTAGCTGATCTGCAATCTCCTATGGCAACCTTTAGTTGCCGACCGGTAAGATATGATTGAAACCAACTCAGAAGATTACCGCATACACCGAGCCTGCAGAGTTTAGCAATCGCAAAAGCATGGTTCAACTTGTCGAATGCTGCGGATAGGTCTGAATAAATAATGTCCGTTTGAACCCGATCCGACATGCTTTCGATTATATACGATGTGAGAAACAGCAGATTGGTGGTTGTAGAGCGGCCGACAGTAAACCCATGTTGATCAGCACTCAAATACTGCTTACTGGGACAGCAACGGTTCCATAATCACTAGCTCGAATAGCTTCGAAACGGCACTTAATGATGCGGTCATCTTGATCTAGATTCTTTCTCTGTTGAGTCCGAGGTTGAGTCTCAGCCTTCTGCTGCAGTATCCTGGCGTGTAATACTCCGAACAATCCTGCTTGCAAATTTCGATTTTGTCTCTCTGTAAGTGTCGATCTAGGGGTTCGCGCCACTTTTTCGACTTTTCGACTATTGATCCGGGTTTGAATTAGCTTCCAGAGAAAGAAGAAATCTCGATAACTTTTTCAAAGGGACGTATCAGCTTTTGTAAGCAATGCATTTGATTGTCGATTTGGCGTAACTGGTAACTCGCTTACGCATGCTAACACTACCATCAGATAGGCGAAATTTTCCCCTACCTGGTAGTGGTGTTAGTAAGCGTGTGTGAGCTACCAGTTACGCCAAATTGATGATCAAATGCGTTGTTCACAATAGCTGATACGTCCCTTTAAAAAAGTAATCGAGAAATAAGCTCTTTTGGAGGAAGTTTGAAAAAAGATTTGTGAACAATCGGAAAACATCCTCCTAAGAAAAAAAAAATGTTGGGAAACTTCTGAGGAAAATTTAAAGTAACATTCGGAAAAAAAATCGGATGATACATCCAGGGGAAGCCAAAAAGGTTTCGGAAATCTGAAGAAAGTTACAGGCCGTTTCCAGGGGAAGCTAGAAGAAGCTAGCGAAAACCATCCAATAGAAGTCGGATGAAATCTCCGGAAGAAGCTCATGGAGATACTTCCAGAGGAAGACGAAAGAAACTTCTGGGAGAATTTGATAGATACTTCCGGTAGAAGTTTTAAGGAACTTCCTGGAGAAGACGGAATAAACTTCCTGGAGAGAGAAACGTAATTCCCGATTCACAGGAATTACCAGGATGAGCCATCAGCCGATAGCCAAAACTGAGGGGAAATCGATAAACTAGTAGAAAGAGTAGCATGCATAAGACATTAACAGATGAATATTTTTTTGATGATTTTGAGGCTCATGAAATTTTACATATTCAATAAGATGAAAGTGTCTCACAATAGCTTTCTCTTAAATTGAACGCAGACAGGTAGGTATCAAAATCAAAAATCGGTACAGCATATAGCATAGCATAGCATAAACCAGATTGCACAATGTCGTAGGTGGTACCATAGAGGTAACTCTAAGACTAGTAGGTCCCGAAGAAACGAGCTCTACTTTTTGGCTCAGCTCTGGTACTATCTTCGGTCCCAAGCTAATCGATTCACCCCTCGAAACATAGGAAAATCCAATAACCCCTCATTTTATCTGTCAAACTTTCATAGCGAATCAAAACAAACATTGTGTAGTACTAGAATTTTGACTAGAATGGGGTACGTTAATCGATTTGTTTGGGATCAATAGGCTAGTCAAGTAGTGAGCCAATTTCAAATCGATAGTTTCATATTGATTGTTGGTGGTACCGTACTACTGGTACGAGC